ATGTTTGGGGGAGCCCTCAGGAGCACCACTGGTGAACAAACACATACGCTTGCTTGATTACTAAAGAACGGCCTGGAGTTATCTCAGGACCAGTGATAACCTAGTTTCTTCCATGGTGAGGGTCATTAAATGGCACATTAATGTTAGAGCCTACAACACAGTGACCTTATCTTTTATTGCCTCAATAAATCCTCAGAGACAGACTTTCCATCCTGAGTGACCAAATAGTCTCCGTGCTCCGTCTAGCTGTCCCCAACGCACTCTCCTCAAGCACCTTCACCTCAGCTCATCCATTTATCTTTCCATCCAGGCCCATTTGGCATTTGGCTTCCACCGGTCTGTTTCCAGTGGAGTGGCTATGATGCCGCTTGGACTTTCCATGAAACATTTCAGAAGCTTAGTCTGCTGCCAAACCACATATGCTGCTCTGGATTCCACATTAGATCACCAAAATCCCCATATTCTAATTTGCTAGTAGAATCAGAACTGTATTATGGTTTCATTTTCTTTTTAAACAAATGAAGAACCCAGAGGGGGATTACACAGCCTATACATCTGCAGTTCAGTCCATTTTCTATTTGGCAATCCCCATTTATATATTAGTTATAGTCTTGTATTATTATTTATTATGTTTTTGCAGAGTAAAATCTTAAAGTAAAAAACAGCTAGAGGATTAATCCAGTGGTGTAAGAAGTATTCATATCTCATACTTAAGTAAAAGTCCTGCATGAACTGTTTTACCATCAAAAAGTTATCAAACAAATATAGTGACACAAAAATATGATATTTGCCTCTGAAATGCAGTGTAGTATAACAGTATCTCAACAGTGTACTTAAGTGTAAATATACCGCCAGTTGCTTCTCTTATTAATCTTATTGGTTATTCCTGCTCTGAGTGATTAATCATGTGATCACTTAGAAGTTAATAATGATTAATCTAACATTTTGTTGTACGCAGGAGAAAAAGTCACTTGATGAATGTGTCTTATGTGAACACCTCATCACCTTTAAAGCCGAGAGCAAGAAACCTTTTCTGCAAAAATAGGTGTTTCACCTCTTGTCTGAAAACCTTCTTCAGTTCTTCTCAGCCATTTGAATGAGAGGCGAAACTCTTCCTAGAAATAAGTCTAGTATTCAAACCCTTTTAGCTCTATTTTTGGTCTCTCCCATCTCCTGAAATGTCCGGCCCTTCAGCTGCTTAATGCTCCACTCTGCTCCGCAGTTAGTCTCTAACTATGTCTCTTAACTACGTCTCTCTGCTATTTGGAGCCGAGCAGGTGGTGCATGGTGGGATTTTAGAGCTTTCTCTCTGAAGACCGGTGCCCTAATGTGGCAGAAAACGACAGCATGAGAGCAGCGACGACAGCTATCGAGTGAGATGAAAGTCACCATGAAGCTACTGTACGCAAAACTGAGGCGAGCTGCGGATGCAGTTGATAATTCTCCGTAGATTTACGACTAAAAGCAACGCTTTTCACATTATAACATTGTTCTGACATTTTCCTTTGTTACATCACAGAAGAATATATTTTTCCTGCTCTTGCACTAATTCTTCAACCGATAAGTACAGACCAGGACCTGCGTAACACGGAAAGTATGGGAGGTTTAAGAGAGAAGGAACTCTTCACCACCACCATCAAAGCTCTGGATGAGCGAATATCTATCGGAGCAAATGTCTTCATCCCTCGAGGTTTTTTTCTAAAAATTTGAAGAAACTATGTAAAAGAGTAGTAAAACATTTCTGTCAGCTTGCGGCGCCCCAACGTCTTAAAAATTGCTTTGAACACATCAACAAGCACTATCACTGATCTAAAAAGGACGAGTTAGTTTAAAACTTCTATATTTTCACTGATGGAAAAAAGAGGAGGCACATTTAAGTGGAGCGCTCAAATCATCTTTATGGTGATTCTGCATCACAGCAGCAGCAGTGAAATCACTGGCAACAGACTGGACCTAACTATGCTCAGGGAAATGAACATGACGGCAACACAACAGGTTGACATTTGGACCCACTTCAAACAAAATGCTGCGGAGAGAAAATATGTCTGAGTATTGTCGGTGTGGGCACAAACCTGATGTGACACCTCAAAGCGTACCGCAGCGAGAATGAGGTAACGTTAAGATATTAAATAACGTTACTTAACATTTAATTAAACTTTTTATGAGATATATAAAAAGGGCAGTAACGTGGACTTCTTCAGATCTCTAGAGTAAGACTGAGGCTGTGTCCGAAATCACTCCCTAATATAGTCCACTTTATAGTGAGTTTTCCATTTTGTAGTGGCATCTGAATGTTGTTTATACTCTAAATAGTGCACTCATTGTTTCCCACAATGCATCATGTAGAATAGCGCACAACCGATGGTCACAAACTGAGCAATATCTACCTTTCAGTGTTAGTCATCTCGCTGCTGAGGTCTTCTTCTGCCCGGCTGCACAATACTAAAACTCTGCAAACACCACCTGCGTCAAACTCTGTGTTTCCTCCGAGATTTATTTCCTCACCTGAGAGGTACTTAAAGTTTAGCAACCGCACACCTGGCTGACCTGTTCCGCCCTCTCTTCCCACTCAGCGGTCTCTGCAGCTCTGGATCAGAACCTCCTTGTCGCCCCCTCAGTCGCACACCTCCACCTATCTGCACGCCGGGCAGGCGGCGGTGTTTGCAGACAGTGACAGACTGCTCCCAAACCTTGGATGCCTGCCAGTTGCTATGATACCATCACCATTTTCACAACCTTCAGGCTTGCTCAGACACGGCTATGGGTTTTCTCTCTTTCTTTTTTACAGTTACTTTAATTTGTTTGCAACCATCATTTTTTTGTTAAATAAAACCCACCTTCTGTCATACTTTGTTTGTTGCCCTTGAGTTTCAGCAAGGTTTTTATTTTTTATGTGAAATTTACTCCATGCTCCAAACACAATGACGCCCCTGCTTCACCTTTTATTTTCCTCAGCATTAAGTTGAAAAGCGAAAGTAAAGAAGAAAATAAAACTATGTGAATTTACAGTTTAACATAACCTTTTTTTTTTTTTTACCTTGTCGCCTTAGAACCAATCCTCTGAAAAATAAAATGGCACCAGGGAAATGCAGTTTTTATCAGATTTTCCGCAGCATCAAATGGTTGAAAAATATATAGAAAACAAATCACAAATTGAAAATGGGGGCTAGAAATCAGTTTGGAAAATGTTTGAAGTTCTCCACATTATGTTAGAGATTTCTTAAAAAACCAAGAGGAAATGAATTATTTTGGAGTTTAAAATAATCTTATATAAAATACAACACCTCAGCTCAGTAATTAAGGGAATTAAACACTCAAAGCTAGATATCACTTATAAATAGTAAATCATTGCCTGGGATAACTTCGTAATAATAAGTGGGACGATGATATATTGGGGGAATTAATTGGTGTGTGATCTTA